AGGAGTGCAAAGAATGTTATCAGTATTACGGGATATCCAAGTACCAATTTTGGTGAACAAGAAAGGTGGAGGTAAACAGAAACCAGTTTAGACACAGAACATTTCTGCGGTCTGCTTTTGGCAACAGAAGCAGGAAAAGTATCTCAAAAAACTCTCCAAAAGAACATCAGAGTAGAAGGGTGAAAATACTGAGGAACTGAAGAATAATTAATTCTGTTGTCTTACCTTTTTTGAACTGTTTTCAGTATTGCAGGTCTTTGCTTCCTCATAAAATTAATTGGTTGGTTTTTTGTTAAACCTGATCTGGGAGTTAAGCACCCTGAAGCAGCATAAACTGGTGTAAATCTGCCATTCAACCAGCATCTCCCTTGGTCCAACAGTGCTGTACCATCTGCTTGAAAAACACCAAACACATCAGCCAGATTCTACCAAGGAACCCTCTCAGTTTTCTCCCAATTTAAGTCCCTGGATGGTCCCCACCCAATTGCAGAAGGGGGTGGTAGTAGTGGTGGTGGGGAAGCAGAACAGAAACCAGAACCTGGATTTAGGCCATCTGGATCCAGGTCAGCCTGGATTTAGGATGGGTTTGGTTAGGGCTGCACCCTTCGTGTGAGCTGAAAAGCACAGGCCTCTCCCTTTGGGAATGGTGACTGAAATCAGAGGAGCAGCCAAACTCTTGGTGCCCTTTTGATCATGGGATGAAAGGTGTGTAGGGTTTTGATGTGAGACAAGATCAGCCTCCTCTGGTAGGCAGTATTTAGTTTCATTTTGGCTAGAAAGGTACAAAATGGCCCTTGACCCAGGAAAACCACCCTTCTTTCAGAACACTGCTTATGTATGTATTCAATTCAGATGAGAATGAGGAGTATATTTTTTTTTTTTACCCAAGCTTTAACTTGTCTGAGGTGATACCTGGGGTAAGGTGATAGTCAATATAAGGCCAAGAAGGAAGAGAGCTGCAAGAATGGAAATAAATTAAATGCCTGACATAGAAATGTTTCAGGAAATGTAGTTTTATATGCTGCTGTTCCATTATTAATTAATTTTTAAAAATAGCATGCCTCTGGAAGCTCAGTATATTATGGCAGTTTTCTTCAATACTAAGAAACAGGAGGACAAGTGACTATCATTGGGTAAGGGACGTGCCCTTACAGGTTGCTCTGAAAGATCCCAAGGGCTCAAATTTGTTCCACCCCAATTTTGACATCTTTCCCTGCTGCTGTGCCCAGTGAGCTAAAGAAGACCTACTTCCCATAGCTTTGACTGGACTATGATAATTTTATGGTTTTCCTTGATCTCCTCTTCCTAGATCAAATAAGTCAAGTAAAGGAGCTATTTGGATGATCACCACAATTGATATTTTTCACTACTGTGGGTAATGAAAGTGCTGAGGGTTTCTGTTGTCTTCTAGGGAGGCTGAGGGCAGAGCAGCGTGGCCAGATAGGATGACATGGCCTGTTCTCAGAGGGTACAGTTACAGCCTGGTGTTTGTTTTAATATATTAATCTAGCTTCAGATTGGAAGACCTGTTTTTTTTTTATCTAGTGTGGTGTCCTGTTAGTGCTATCAGACCTTTGTGATTGCCAAAATAGGGCAGAAAAATGGTCCTGGAAGCTTTCCATGCAGATAATCTGCTTTAAAGTGTAAATATGCTAAGTAAAGAGCCATGATATTTGAACTGAAAGCCTTATCAGTATCTTTGTGGGAGTAACTGGTGCGTGAAAATGCTATAGTTTACAGGAATATGTGTGATATGGATACTGGATATACTTAAATCTGTTTTACTGGTACCTGTATGGCTTTTTTACAGTGCTATCTCTGAGATTTGCTTTACATGGCTCACTCTAGTTTGAATGCTTGGAAGCTGCTGAGTGAAGGTGACCTGCGTGAGGCCCATCCCGCTCCCTCTGCTTTTGCATGGGGGGCAAAGGCTTGTTTTCAAAGAGCAATGGCATGTAGCTTATCCAAGATCTGAGGTGTGCACCTGGAAATATGACATTTGCCTGTTCACTGCTCTGTCCCAGGGTACTTGCTTTTATTTTGGAAACAGGCCTCCCCCTGTTATTTGTGTTTGCTTTCAGAGCTAATGTAGTGATGCTGTCTAACAGCAAAAGCCGATCTGTGAGGGGCAGTCTCCCAGGAAGGAAGATATCTGGAATAGCCTAATAGTACAAGTCACCTGCTGATACACATTAAAAACCAATGAGTGTCTGTTAGTACTGTCCTCTTTTAGGGTGGTGACACTAGGGAATGCTGAAGTATGCAACGTCTGTCATTAAATATTTTTTTGTTGCCCTATGGGGGAAAAAAAAGTGAGGTTTTTTATAAGTTGTTATCAGTCCTTAAAAGTCAACTAACTTTTGTCTAGCAATTGTGCTCACATAAGCATGATTTCCTTCTAACAACAGGCCAAAGATACTCAGCAACAGCAGGAATTTTATGAATATTTCATGAGTAGCCTAAGTTAGAATTTGCAGGATTAAAAAGAGGAAACTGGGTCAAATGCACGTGGTTTAAGCATCTAACTTCTTTAATGCTAAATTCATATATGTTGCATTTTGAAAACTGAAGCAGCAGTTTTTTGGGGGTAGGGGTTTGTGGGCTTTTGAGGGGGGATGGGAAGAGAAGACGGTGTTTATTTTTAAATTTGACCATTTTGAGGAAAAATTATTTTTCCCTTTGGTATTTTGTGGGCCAAATCCCAGGACGCTTGTGGAGTTTCACAGTGTGTGCATCCACTTCAAGAAAGGCTTTTCCAGCAAGCCCAGCACCTTTCTGCATAAAGTCTATGCTGCTGCTTTCCTAGGTACATCGCTGGGTTTGAAGAATCGGGGAGCGAGGACAGTAAGTGCTGTATCCTCTAGAGCTGAAGTTGAGGCGAGTTCTCAATGGATGCAGCTCTTGCAGTAAAGCTTTTGAGGGCCTGGTGGGGAGTAAACCAGCAAATACAGAAGTGACGGGCCCTGGAGGGGGCTACATATATTTGAAGTGTCGAGGGAGCTGCTGGGACCGGTGCCTGCCCGCAGTACTGCTGACCCTGGCCCCGGGGACCCCCTGCTCGTGGCAGCAGTGCGCTCCATAGCTCCGTGTTTGGGCTGCAGGGGCTCGTTAGGAATTGTGTGTGATTCCTGCTCCCCCATGCCAATAGAGCTGTTTGGAGAGCAGAGGTGATACCCTCGCGGTGATAATCGGTGGTGGCGGTGGGAGGGTAGGGTGCAGGCAAGTGTTTTCCATGGAGCATTGCAGCAGGGCTCCCACTAGGTTTCCTGAAGATAAACATATCGTGTTGAGTGTACGTCCTTGTCTGCTGCTACAACATGCAGCTGGTGGACCTGCAGAGCGCTGGTGTTTGAGTCTGATGGTGTTTTCAGGTATTGTTACTCAGTCGTAATTGCCAAAGTCATTTCCAGGGCTCAGATAAATGAAGTAATAACCTGAAGTTCAGACTAAAGAGGAAGGTTCTTACTCCACTGTTCTTTTCTAAAGATGAGTTGCACAGAAGAGGTGGAGAATGCAGTGACGACATAGTGCTGGTATTGCAGTAGTCTTAGAAACAGAACTAATTAAATGCAAGAGAAAGGATCCTAATGACCATGTTTTATCAAATCTCTTACACCTGTAAGTGTATTAGTGGCTCCCTTGCTTAACCTAAGTAGATTTTTAATTGTTCTACCTCTCTCTTTGACGTTGTTTGCAGTGATATTAGGCTTCGTTTTGATTCAAGAGATGATGATGATACAGAAGATTTTAAAAAGCCCCCAATATAGTCAATATGACTATTCTCAGTGTTTTCACCAGCACGTTAATTCTCATGTCACTGTTGTCCTTAATGGTTACTATCTTTTGTCTTTGTATTTTCAACCATGCAGACATTTTTAGATTTGATGTATAAAATGTGTAGATGGCTAAGCTATAACAAGGCTCGTAATGGTCTTTGTGGCTTTTTAAAATATTAATGGAAATAAAGTGTATAAATGTAATTGCTTGCTTAGCGTTACTGTGGTAAAAGTAATTTCTAAGTTAAATATTGTTGGGGTTTTTTGCTATACAGATAATCACCAGTGCAAGAGGGAACCATCTGGCATCTTTGCCAGTGCAGGTGCTGAGCACTTGGTGTGACAGGAGCTTGGGGAGGGTAACCCACCTAAGGATTCCCACCAGTCAGTCCTGGTTCGTGTCTCTGTGCTAGCCTAGTCCTCCTCTCTGCAGCTGCCTTTGGAGGCCATCATCTGTTCTTTATTTTTGCCCCATGATGGGCTTTAGGTATTTTAAGGAAACTGAGAAATACAGTGGCTGGACCTACGTGATTGTTGCTCTCCCTTCATGCTGGCACCAACTAAAAGCTGACATTGAGTTATGTTAAAGGGGCCTCAACTAACCATTAAGATTTGTCTTCCTCCCCCTACTTCTCCTCCAGCCTCTGAAATACCTCTCATGAGTAATAACATGCAAATACAAAACATAAAGCCAAATAAACAGATTTCTTTTTTTGTTCATTTAGGCTTTTTTCCTGTTGATTCCATGGCAGGTGTTTCCTTTTTAAGGTTGCACTCCATCACATAGTGTGTTTTATCTGGAGTGAAAGCTAATGTCTACACTGGTTCCTAAAGCATCATTTTTTAAAAAGGCAATAATGTTAATGACAAAGAGCAGAGTCCCAAGGACAAGTAGTCCCTGTTTCTGGGCTTCTTTAACTATAATTGCAATACTTTAGCTACAGCTTTTGTGGCTGGTTGTCTTCCATGTCTGCTTTTTATTATAACATTGTGGGGTTTTTACAGCTATTAAATCACTATTCGTTCGCTATTCATGAAGCTATTTCAAACAAAGTTTTGCTCAATAAAGACCAAGTTTGATTTCTGTTTTTAAAATGTTGAATACTGCCTCTCCACTAAGAATTATAATGAAAATTAATTCTGGTTTTATTTTGAATTAATGTGTGTTTTGTTTTGCTCTTTTTTTTTTGTTTGTTTGTTTTTATCTTCTTTTCTCACTGCTAGCTGTGAGGTCTGGCTGGCTGCCCCCACCACCACCTGCACTGCCCCCTCGACCTTCTGTATCTCAGGTATGGACAAAGGTTTAGCACTTTGCTGTATATTCTTCATTTATTTATGTTACTGTTACAGTGGTTAGCAGAAGTTGGCTTGGACATGGCAGTTCTTGCTTCCAAGTTAATGCAAATCTGCACTGTGCTCTGCAGTTCCATACATGTCTTTCTTCATGGGTCTGTCTAGCCGGTGTGTTGCAGTGTCAAATTACACACTAATTAAATCTCTTTGTAGTGGAGCTGACATACACCCACTAGACAAAACTGTAAATTGAAGGCTAGTAAGGGTAGTCTACTAATATGAGTTTTCATGCCTGAAAGGCATGGGCTTTGATACCTGCTATTTGCTTCTCAAGCTTCAAATGCTCAGAGGGCATCAGCTAAGGGATCCACGGCATGTAAGAGTATATTTCACCCATGGGTTTAAAAAATAATGCTGAAAGAAAGTGAATGCCACCTCAGTTATGTTTTTAAGTTTCAAACCTAGTGGTGCGCTTTTTTTTTGCTTTTTAGATGAGTTTTTGTTTGTTTGTTTTTAGTGTCACACAGCCACAGCACAATGCAAATTGACTAAATCATGCGTGTCTGCATCCAGATACTTCTTCAGGTTTTAGGAAATGATGGAGGATCAGGGTCTTGGTCTTTTATTGGCTCTGTTAAGTCTTAGGCAGCAGTATGCCTCACATTATTACTCCTTTAGGTGAAGTGTATAAGGGAAAACAAGTCCACAGGGGAGGTAACAGCCCATTACATATAAAAACTTGGTGAGACACCTTCTTCCCTGGGCCAGAAACAGACCTTGCTTGAGGTTTGGATCTACACTTAAGAGTCTGCTGTTGAGCACCTCCTGCTGCACAGTGCTTATGATAGAAATGATAAAGGCTCGTTGCCTCCACCCGTTGCCACCCCCCAGCTCCACCAGCAGCTTGTTGCTCTCTTCCTCTCCCCAGCTCTTTTTAGCACTCGAGTGCAGCTAATTTCTGCCTTGAGGACTGCAGAGCGTTCAGGCTTGAGCTTGCGTGCTTCCCCCGAGTCAGCGGGGCGTTAGCCCTACTGCTGGCACCACGGGCACCCGTCGCACTCCTGCTTTGTCGAACGCTCCCCGCAGAGCAGCCTTGCCCTCTGGCTTGCCCCGGCGCCCAGCACGGCTCCCTGGCTCCTGCCCGCGGCTGCGACCCGCGCCGGCCCTCCTGCCGCTGCTCGAGCTCGCCACAGCACGCCAGCTCCGTCCAGCGCCAGCCCTCTCGCTGCCATCGGGGAGAGCCGTAAATACAACAAATCCTGTTCTCGGGGAAGAAAACTGTTGTTTTCGAGCAACGTTTTGCTAATCGTTCATTTTCCCGTCCTACCATACATTTGCGTTTCCTTACCAGGGCAGTGAGGAGAGATGGTGACTTATTTATACATGTCCAGCAGTTTCCTTTACCACAACACAAACACTGAACCAGCTGCTCATCCTATGCTGGGCCGTGCAGAATACAGGACCCTTCTAAAAGGATAAACACAAGAAGATTCTTATGTGAAATTCTTGATCCAGTCCTCTCTCATACAAAAGTCTCGTTTCTGAAAGAAAAAAGAAAAAAAGTGGCTTCTCTGTCTACTCAGTGATTTAATACATAGCCAATGTTTTGCTTATATGCATCACTTATATTTACTTAATTTATTTCTGATTATTTTTAAAGATATTTAATCAAATATAAAAATATTTTTGTTCTGATATCTAGCAAAAATTTACATCGAACTGATTCTTGAAAACATAATAAACTTCATGCCTGTCACATTGTTTAATTTTATCTCCAAGCATGCCTTTCTGTGATAAAGGTAACAGACAGTAGGGAAGTACGTGTGATGGGGTCATAATTCAGATGAGCTGACCCTTATGAATAGCATGTGAGCAAGAGTAAGCATATGGATTACATTAGTCCAGTGGGGCCCTTGATATAAAGAGCATGAACAAGTTGGAGGAAGGATATGCTCTCAATACTGAGGCAGGATCAAGAACTGATGAAAAGCCATGATGCTGAAATGACACTTTGGGCTTTCTTCTGTTTCAAGTTTTACCAAACTCTTCTTAAATTTCTCTTTTAACTTATTTTTCACCAGTGTTATTGAAAATCCTTTTTTAATGCCATAACATTTTGCTATATGCCTGCAGTTAAGCAGTATGAATGACAAATGTAGCTTGGAAATGAAGCGAAGCCCGCATATTTCAGGTGGCTGTGCACCATGTAAGTATGCTCATGGTGTGATTATTTTGGCTCAGCTTTGGAAATCAGTTGATGGAGGAGGAGAGGGAAGTAATTTCTTCTGAGGACTAGAGTTTTCTATGGATGACTGAGAAGCAGCCTGAACCAGTTGGTTCTTTAGAGCGAGATTAAAGGGCTCATGGGATGTAAAGGCCAAAGTGCATAAAAGAGGTACCAAGGAGCTGGTATTACATTTCAGTGGAGCAGAAGTCCTTCTGTGAGCTTAATCAATAGCAATATAGAAATGGCATCTGGACTTTGGTCCTGGGTTGCTGTTGTTTTTAGTAGAATTTGCTTCAACCTTTAGGAAAACATTATTTTTCCTGTCAGAACCTCCAAGGGAATCAAGCTCAGTAAGTTACTGAAACACTGGTTATTCAGAACGTGCCAAACGTCTCTAGTCATATCACAGACTTACTAAATTATGTCCACGTCCAACTCTGCCTCCTTAGGGCAGTCAGCTGAATATCAAGGGAGAAGGACCGTGTCACTGGGTGAGCATAGCACGAGGTGAAACTTAGAGCAAATACTGCTGTGACCTTGACTCCAGAGTTCAGTGGATGGAGAGGCTTACTGTGGGAGGCCTGAGTCTTGGGATCCTGCGAAGACTTGGCCAGTTTGTAGGGAAATAGCAGCGGGGCTGGCTTCTCTGCTCTGGGTTGCTCCTGCTAGCCCATGCTGTTCCACACCTCTGGTGGGCAGACACCTTTGCACGTGCAGCTGCATCTCTTCTTACCTCTACAACAGGTTTTAGAGTTGGTGGATTAACTCTGGGCTTATTTCTTCTTGGTCGCCTCTAAAAGGCTATGGTAGCTTCGTCTCCTCGGAGTTTTTCTCCATTGCCAAAGTCAGCATTGTATTGACTTTGTATCGGTCCATGAACTGTACCCAAGTTTTCCTCAGAGCTTTCACCAGACACTTCTCTGATGCAGTGGTGCTTTCATCTGAGGTCCCTATGATGTCTGTAAATAAATTAAATAAAGATGGACAAAAGGCAAGTTTATGTAATGTGGATACACCATTATCTCTAATTTATCATCTTTTAACCCAGATTCCAGTCCATATCTCTCTGCACTGCAAGCTATTGTGAATTGATATTTCCAGTAAGATGTTATGAAATGCTTTATTAGAATCCTAGATTCATGTTGCTTTCCTATTCAAAAAAGAAATTAACTCAAGTTTTTCCTAAATTCTGTGAAGGGTACTCAAAAATATTGTGTATGGAAATAGGCTTATACAAAGACTAGAATTTTGTTTTGGATAATATGTTATTTTGAAGTGTTTTCCTTTTACTGCTGTGTATATGCCTGTGTGTAACTTCACTGGCACCTTCTGTAATCCCTAGTAGCACATCTCACACTTAGCAAGTCTGCAGTAGCTGCTTGGATTTAAAAATAATTTTATCTGTAACAGTTTCCCTATTTCTTCAGACCATAAATATTTAATATGCTTCAAGCTATGGTACAGACTTAGGACACTGGCAATGCCTTACCTCTCTTGCTCACTTCCCGTGACACGTTATAGTTATGGCTTTTCTACTCTTTATTTTTAATTTTTTTGGGGGTGTTTTTTAAAGTTTTTATAAGTTTTTAGAGTTTTTGTCATCCCTGTCATCATGCCCCCACCCCAAGCGATGGTATATAGAACAGATAGCCTGTAGCTCGTTGAAATATCTACTGTGGTTTTTTTCTGGGCTTGTAGAGGACTGGATTCAGTGGCTCAGGTAATTTTTCCTGATCCTGTGTTCCTAACTTAACAGTAAGCTTAAGTCATCAAGGAGAAATGGCATAAAGGTGGCCCCAAAATGTTTTTTGTGAACCTAGGGCTGTATGTAGAAAATTTATGTAACTTGGAGGTGGTAAGAATCATGATAGGAAGGCAATAGCTATATATCTACTTCTCAATGACACAGATTTTAGATAGGAAATAACTTTGGATGCTCATGAATAACACTCCATGGGAACCAAACATGTGTATGTACATCTCATATAAGCCTATGTTGTTTTGTTTTGTTTTTTTTTTGTTTGGTGTTTTTTTTTGTTTGTTTGTTTGTTTTTTTTAATGGAAAACAAAATAATACTTTATTGCTGTTGGCTTTTAAGCCTACAGAAGTAATTTACCACAGCTGCTTACTGTGGGAGATTTAGTAACATATTTATGTTAATAGGAATTACGGATGAACACTGAAGAGCAAATATAACTTTAGGATTTTATCCAACATCAGCTCACTATCTGCAACAGTGCACAATTAGATCAACGTTCCTTTATTTCAATTACTCTGTTTCAGTACCGTCCTGTCCAGTAATGAAGGCATATCTTCAATCCTGCCTGTGCTATATAAGGGCATTTGAAAACAGTGGGACTGGAAGAAAAACCTGTATATCTTGGCTGAAAAAACTGATGTTCCTTGTCTCTTTTCCCAGAGTCTAAATTTTAAGCCTGTTGATTTTGTAAATTCACTCTGGTTTGTGCTGGACTTTTATTTCTGGAGAGCCTGGGACCTGGTTTTCCCACTGGTTCCATGCTGGCAGATTTGACAGGCCCTGAAAAAATTGCGGACGAAGGCAAAGTGTTCAAGTGAAGTGGAGTAGGTAGGCAGCTGTTAACATTATCAAATGGAGGTATCCTGAGTACAGTGCAGCTCTGAAGATTAAAATGTCACTGTGTTATATGAGCTCAGAATTAGGCTGTCAGTTTAGTGGCCATCATTACCGTTAGATGTTATTGATTTGGTGATTTCATGGAAACAGAGTGCTGGGAGGGATGATGGGTGGGTTGCCCTGCCCAGTCACAGGCACCTGGTGTTGTTGGAAAGCAAGGATATTATTCTTTTTTAACATACAGAATGTTCCACTCTCCAAATGTTACTCGATACTTCATAATTCCTTGAAGCTTTTTGGCCATTCATCATCCAGAATTGCAAGTGAAAACTGGGACCCCATTCAAGAAGGTGTCTCTATTAACATGCCTCACAAGTTCTGCTGAGTCCACGGAGAGCTGTGAGCGTGGGGTACGCTTGGGCTGGGTCTGTACCCACCAGTTATGTGTGCCCACGCTGACCCGTGGCACCGAGGCCGAGAGGCAGGGAAGGGCTCCTGTCTCCCCTGCTGAGGCCTCTCAGCCTCCTGGGCGGGATGGGAGCTGGTCCAGGGGTCCCCCCACTGCCAACGTCTTTGGGTAAAGCCAAGGTGCGTGGAGGATAAGGAAGGCTTGGCTCACCTCTCTTACGAGGTTGTTTGGAGAAGATACTCAGCCAGCTGAGGCACTGCCTTACTCTGTAAAATTATGTGAGGAATTTCAGGTGTTGGCAGGACACCTGGAGTTTTACAGGAAGGAACATTTTTGTTACGGAAATAAAAATTTCCCCCCAAAAGTGAAGATTTTGCTTTTGGCAGCATGCTATTTGTATACATGTTGGTATTCTCCTAGACAACCATTTTATATTCAACCAAATGAATACTTTTTTAGCTTGCATTTTCAATCACTGTGCAAGAAGAGGGTGGGTTTTTTGATCGTCTCCATGGTTTTGGCTGCAGAATAACATATGTTGTATAATCAGTGCAATAGGTACTGAAGAAGCCTGTAACTGTAATAAAACTGAAAGTCTTCTATAACATGAAAGATTTTGCCATCTGCCACTTTAATATTATACGAGTGGATTATCTTCCTCTCATGAAAATTATATATTAAATCTAGAATGGCCAGACAAAAGAAATTACGGTTTAAGAAGTGGTGGAAAGTAGCACAGTTAAAATTGAATTTGGGGGGTAGTTGATGGATGCCATAAAATCCTTTCTAAAGAGGTTTCTGGGAAAGTGGGAGAAGGGCGAGTATCTTAATTAAAATATGTTGTAATAATTTTTTAATTTGGCTTCACATCATAAAAACAACAACAAAAAAAGCTAAGAATCCAATGCCTGTATCTCTAGTGGAATGCACATACCCCTTTCTAGTTTACGTTAATCTGGTTTTGTGGAAGTGGAGTATTAAAACAGATTGTTAATGCTTCCATCTGGGTCCTATTCTTTCCTTGCAAATGGGCCGAATATTGCAGCAGTTTGTATTTACTGCCTTCTTCCTCAACCTTATCACTAGCTCTCAGATAGCTCGGGGAAGGAAAAAGCTTATCAAAACTTCAGGGCTGCACAGTGCTGAGAAAGCAGGCAGCACACTAAGACCCTGGCAGCTTGTTGCATTTGCATCCCTATGGGTTTTCTTTCTGTCTTAACCATTTCAAGTTTCTGTAACAAGCAATAAAAAGAATTAATGATTCAGTGTGGGATGCACAAGATTCACAGAAACTGGAACTGAGACAAGTTAACTTCTTAGAAATTGGCATTAAGTGCAGAAATATGAATGTTTAGAAAAGAGCGAAATACCTCTTCAATGAACTTGAGTAGAGATGATAGAAGATTGCAATGGGCACATACTGAGTGTTGAGCATATTTAGTATTCTACTTTTTCTTACAGATAAGCTGTTCTCAATACTTTTTTTTTTTTTTTTTTTTTTTTTTTTTTTTTTTGCAAAGCTAAGCAGTGGCACCGTACAGGTAATGATTATGGGCTATTCCAGTGAATGCACAAAGATAACTCCATTTCTGTGAGTAGTGCCATTGACATAGTGAGACTATTTCTGTGTGTAAAGTTATCTGGGAGCAGAAGTGTGGGTGAGATTGAATTGTGGGGAAGATTGAATATATATTTCACCCCTTGCAAAAAAAAAATCCTCTCAAGGTAACAAATATGAAAGCTCTGTATAGACCTTCTGTTCTGGAAGATCGGTTAGGAATTGAAAAGTGCATGTGAAATCTACATATAATCCAGCATTGCAAAGCAAAAGAACTGGAAATGTAAGCGAAGAACCTGTTGTTAAAGTAATGTGTTCTCTTGCAGTTATGAAAATCTTTCATCTGAGTCTTTGGAAGCACTTAGTGCTTAAGTGAGTGTTACATGTTCTTTTAGAAAGGTACTGTTAAGTATCATCACATGGAGCAGTGAGGGGATTATGAATGGCTTGTCAAGGATCACGCGATAAAATAATGAGCATTTACAATTTCTAATTCTCTCCTTAACGATGAGGAATTATCTGTTCTAATGCTCAGTATTGGTCATAGGCCACAGGTTGATCTCTAGCCATGGTCATTGTGCAGAAAATTTGTTGGCCATTTTTATCTTCTGCCTGGAAAAATGAGGGTGTGGTTATTCCTAGGAAATACAAGACTGCTCTGGGGAGAAATGAGATAGTGCCTGTTAATAACTGGACTTCAGTCCTTGCAAACAGTTCTTCGGGAGATTTGGAATAGGACACTGTCTTGCTCTTTTCTGTGATCACTTACTCTTCTTCCCCAAATCAGGATACTCTTAGGCCTGGTCTGCAAACTCTCTTCTGCACTGCTGATAGTGCACATGAGCAGGATATTCTTTGCCCATCTCCCGTAGCCCTGGGTGTGGACCCAGCTGTACCAGCCAGCACCGCAGCGCTTCCTAGGTCAGTCGCTTACTCCGTTCTGTGGATGTGAGTGAGACACTTCCAAGGAAGCACTTTTACACTACTATAACTGAGTTTACCTATGAAAGACCATATTGCATAATGTATGATCTTTCAGTTTAATAAATCAGTGGTGAATAATTGTGAACTCTAATACAATGGTGAGAAGTTTCCAAGATGTGGGAAAGGTTTAAGACATTTATTGCTCTAATGGAGGGAAACAATTTACTGCTGTGTTTCTGAATAAGAGACGAGTTGTCCCAAGATTATACTAAGCATGGTATAAAAACAATGAAGAACTAAAGGGAGCCCACCTCAGCTGCTCCTGATGGATCACCCTTTCCTTACACTCCACTATAGGAGTTTGGATTGGAGTATCCTTGAGCCAATCTCACTCTGCCCATGACCAGAACGTTACAGAGACTGGCTTTCACCCCATGTCCAAATCAGTGAAGGGAAGGAAATCTGAAGAATCCTCCTGCCAAAAGGAAAAGCAGGAGTTATTTTTCCTTTAAAATCTGTGTGGGGCCAACGTGGGGAGACATCAGCTTGCAAAGGTGTTTGTAAAGCCTCTCAGGCCTTGCCTAGAGGACTTTGTTGGTTTAGCTGAATCAGCAAACCTTCTTTGCATTGATGCAGATTGCAGTTAACAAAAGGTTTTTGCCTGGGTTAAATGCTGTCCATCCCTGAACAAAATCCCCCGCAACAGCATACTGGTTATTTTTTTTACACTTGAGCACTTGTGTCAGAGGCATGTTGCTCTGAGGAATGGAGGTCTTTCATAGAGGAGAACTTGTAGGTCTGACGGCAGATTGTTAATGTGCAGACCTGGCTTCCTCATGACGGGGAAAGGAGACTCCAAAGAGGGAAAGGAGACTCCAAAGAGCCGAGGCTGACTGTGTCCAGTGCGGCTGACTGCCTACCTTGTGGGGCTGGCTCGGTCTGCAGGCTCTGAATAATGCAGGCAGCTATTTTTTGGTACTCTCCTCAAAGCAAAGCACTCAGAAATGGCCTGTCCCACATGCCACTAGGTGGCACTTTGGGGACACGGCAGCCACTTGGTTTTAATAATTTTGCATGAGCTGCATCACCAGAATGAGTTCTCTTTTTTGGTTTGTATTTTTTTTTTTTTTTTTTTGGTCAAATGTAACCATTTATTTCTTTTTACCACCTGCCTGCTCCAGCCAGCCCCTGCCCCGCTGGGTGCTGAGCTTTGCCATCCCTGCAGCCTGCCCGGAGTTCCAGCCCCAGCCGGCGGGTACCCCAGCCCTGCGGCGGCACAGCGGCTGGTAGGCTGACAGCCACGGCACAGCACTCCACCAGTAAAAAATGTGGCTTGCATCAGTAGGAACTGCGATATCAGATTGTTGGAAATTTTGAAATTTTACCCTTTTTGGCATCAGAACTCCAATTTGTATCTGCTTCCACCTGAATACAAAGTTTACTCTCTTCCCTTTTCACTTCCTTTCAGTTTAAAACAGCATTCTCCTGCAATGAGACCATTAAAAAAAAAGCGGGGGAGGGGGAGGAGTATGTTTCTACAAAACTTGGGGGGGTGGTTGTTGTTTTTCTTTTTTTTTTCTTTCCCCTTCCCCCACCAGGTCCTTTATTGTACTTTGATTTCAATTTTCCTGCTTATTTGCAATTGTTATTGTAGAGTACCAGTCTACTTAGTTACTTTTACACTGTTTGAACACATTGTTTCTTGAAAAGCTACATTTTATCTATGGATAAATAACATGGAGTTGGTCTCCTTTCTTTTTCATTCTGTGGAATAAGTTAATATATTCTTGCTTTTGATGCAGAGTTTAGTGTAGACTCCAACAAGAGTGTGAGCACCAGAAGCTAGCTGCCCGCCTGGCTGGGCTAGGGGGTTATCTAGTGCTCCCTGTCCAAGCAGGGTCATTAAGAGCTGGCTCTAGTATCTCTCTGCCATTGCTCTGTGTTGTGCAGCAAAACTGTGCCATGAGGAGTTTATAGTATGCATATTACATGGTTCTCTGAAAGACTGTGTTTACTCTTGCTGTCCGTAAATGAATGATTTTGACAAACTGTTGTGGTTTAAGCCCAAATTCATTGTCTGCTTCTTGGGTATTTAAGCTTTGCTATCCCCAAATCATTTATGAAAACCTCATGGACTTCGCCAGGCTATTGTTACCAGTGCTTAGAGCCTTAATTTCTTTCAAATATATAAGAAGTGATTGTAGAAATCACGAAGGTTATGGGCTATTCAGCTTGCTGATAAAGAAATGCTCTGTTGCATTAAATGGACTTTTAAAGGTCTTTGTTGTAGACAGCAAAAACAATTGTTTTTTCCATTTCACTGTCCTATTTGTACTAGAAATCTACAGTTACAGAAGAAGTACTTCAACCCATGAAAAGCTTTCCAGAATTCAAATACTAGTATCCAATAATTATTAAAATCCAAATATTTCAGATATTAAACTTCAAATCCTGGAAAACTACAGGGTGAGTTGTTGGTGGTTTCTTTAATCCTCAGATAACATTACAGATGTAGCACTCTTAGAAGAGCAGGGAAGAGAATTCTTGTCAGCCAAACACCTTTTCCTCCTCTCCCAAGGAATTTCACATGCATTTAAAAAAAAGATCCCAAATCTCTCTCCTTTTCACACGTTTGACACTGTATGGTTGAAGAACAGCAGTAACCTGACAGAACCACATTTCCCCTGCCCCTTCCTGTACAGCACTTACTGTGTCTGTTATGGAAGAAATAGAAGTGGTATGAAAAAGTCCCTCCTTTTTAAAGGTTGCAAATTCTGTGCTTTCTGTCATTTTTGTTTAACTTACAGTTAAGCACTGGGAAACTTGGGACTGCTACAGAGCTCGATGGGCCTATGCAGAAACCTCTTGGCAACAGCAAATTAGGTTCTTCAGTGTGCAGCAGGTTGTTGTTACTGTTACGGCTAACATCATAGCCCCTTAAAAGTTTGAGGGTTTGCCTTGAAGTTGGTTTTAAGCACAAGTTTTCACCTGTGTAGAAACGAGCCTTTTTTGAGGAGGGAGCTGGGTGGTGGGTTGCCTCTCCTGCCCAGGGGCCCTTGTCAGTGTGGCTCCAATTTGGCAGAAGTTGGGAAAAAGGAGAAGAGGCCGTTTGCCAGCACCAAGTGCCCTCAGCCTCCTGTTCCTGCCTGCCTTCCCTGCTTTGGAGAGCCAGCCCATGCCTTCTCGACAGAAAACAGCCTCACTGTGCTTATACAATGTTGACACAGTGTTTGCTGCTGTGTGCCCCGGGACAGGCAGCTCCAAATCCTGCTGCCCTCCCCTGGCTGATGTGCCATGCCCTGTCCTGGTGAAGCAAATCAAAAGATGCGGGAAGATTTCAGGAGAGGCAAAACAAGGGATTAACTCTCTGTTTTAATTTGCTGCTCAGTCAGATATTCTGGGAGAAGGGTGTTTTGTTTTGCAGAAGTGTAGACCTGTGTGGTGAGTGTTCAGCTTTGTTTCTGTCTGAAACATGAAAAGGGAGGAGAGAAGATTTATTTGGCTTCTTCTATGACTTATGTTTTCAGTAACTTTACTTGGTATAATTCAGACTTTCTCACTCCAGCCTTGCAAACTTCAAAGGCAGGGGCTTACCTCAATGAATTTTCATCGGTTTCAGGAGATATTAAGGTGACAGAGTGCATCCAGGATCTTTCTAGCTTATCCACCCCTCTCAGTCTTTCTCGGAGTATTTAGGCCATAAGGGTAACTCTAGAAGAAGTTCTGGGTACTAGGTCATTTACGTTCAGAGACATGGTTCCTAACACGTCGCCGTAAAACTTTTTTCTTGTTTTCCTAGTACAATAAAATGCAAGAAAATGGTTTCATTAAAAATCTGCAAAAGGCATACATCATCCATTCAACTGTCACCCTAGATCTCAATTTTTCTGACTGTTGAATTGTTTAAGTAACTTTTCTTCTGTGTATGATGTTTCCTTTCATTGACTTTATTGTATGTGACTGCTAGTCGTTTTCTAGGTGTAGCAATGACTGATTTGTTGTTGCAGACAGAGCAACCATCTGAGGTTGAATTGCATCCTCAGATGAATAGACCTCCATCGCAGGCAGAAGAAAACAGTTCAGCAAAAAAGGTGAGACCTGCGCATGTTGTAACTGTGTGGAGTGATTTGCCTTCAACAAATGTGGTTGTTCTACATTTTAAAGCAATTAAATGGAGGGTTAGGGTTACATTTTTACATGTTTACCTTCTCTGGAGGTCAAGACACAAGAGAGAACCGGGATTGTGTGTGACATCAGCTCAGATAAATCATTAAGAAACTCTTAGTACATACACACTGATGCACGTGCTTTAAGAGAGGCAGCTTGCCATTTGTTTCAGATCAATAGGGGCTGGTAGAGCCTTAGGGAGGACAAAAAAGAGTTTGATTGTACTCAACCTCTGTCTCGCTGTAATTCTTCCAAATTGTGACGCATTTCTTGCTTCCAGTTGTCGAGGATTTGGTTTTGATGTAAACACACCTGTTTGCTAGAGGTCAGGATCTGCCACTAAATGCACGTAGACTGGGAAAGCTTTGCTCAGAATGTGCAGTTTCTAATACGCTTTTGTTTGAACATATAATTTGTATAAACTAAGCAGCAAAATTGCAATGGTACTCTTCAAAGGGCCTTGTTTAGGGATGGAGTGGCCTTAAGCAGTGGCTGTGAACATTTCCCCACTCCTGGTCACACTCCCAGCACCTCCTTCCACCAGTCCCAGCCAGAACTGGTTTTTGATAGGGAGCGAGTGCAGATCCTCCCCGCTCCTGCAGTCAGGGAGCACCTGCCAAGACCTTTGCTCAGCCCAACCAAGAGCTGTTGGCAGGTACTTTGTGTAGCATGTACCTTGCCCAGGGAGCATCATCACACTTCTTAACCTAACGTAGGGCACAGACAAATGTCCGGTGTTGTTTCCTATATGTGATAGGGCTTTTTGGGCAGCATTCTTGCTCTGCTTCTGCGCACCACACCCTATGTCCACCCTGGCTTTGCTTCTTCCTTCCTCTGCTTTGCAGTCCTGCTGGGGAAGTGAAATCCTTGTGGTCCACCTCCTTCATGCTTGCCCTTGTCCCGCCTGGATCCCTAAAATACAGAGATGCCCCAGGCTGTGGGGTGCAGGAGGCAGGTTGCTGGCGCAGTGCTGGGCCCACCTTCCGCAGCCTGGTGCAACAGCAGCCAACCAAAGAGCACCTGCGGAGGGCTCTGCTTTTAGGTACTGGGTCATTTCTTCCAGTATCATGTTTGAAATGGAAGAGGGATTTATTCTATGGATTTGATAGGTTTTTGACAGTTCAGGGTAGATGGAGGATTGTGCATTTGGTATCCCACCAGTCTGTAGTTGCAGAAAGCATTTGCAAGTTCCTCACCTGCTGTGCATTGTGTGTTTGCAGGGAGCTGCGGGCATGCATAGGCTTTTAGAGCACGGTATTCTCTGAGATCTGTGCAGTGCTGATGTGCTGATGTCCCGATTGAAAGATCTCACAATATTTGTAGATAATTTATTTTAATAATGGCAGAACTGTTTTTTAATGTTGAAGCCCCTTAACCCCTTGTATCCTTGTAATTATAATTCCTCTAATAATTGTAATCCCTCTAATACAAATTATTGATGGTCTTAAGTTGGTTTCATTCTCTGTTACTTATAGTAGTCTCTTTTGCTGAATCAGGCTGCTTACTACGGTGTTGTTTTTTTTTTCTTATGACTGCTGGGTCATTAAATGCTTCCTCATTTAATTTTTGTCTTATTAACATTTGGCAAAAACATAGTAAGGAAGATTGTCTGGCCCAATAAAATGTGCACTGTGCAAGTGATAATAAAATTTGGTCTCTGGTCTTGACTGTGACACTAAATGTATAACCTTTATTAAGTCACTTCATCTTTTTGAGTCTTAGCTTTCTCATTCATGAAATGGGGTAGTAATAGTTATATCCCTTGCAAGAGAGATCTAATAATAAAATACACTGAAAAGGATATATTTATATTTCAGATTTAAAACAGCTAGAAGGCATTAAAACTACTTCTCATTGCAAAAGAAAGGATGTCTTAATTTAAAATAATGAAAACACATGTCCACTGAAGTCATTAAAACCCAAGACGTTTTGTTTTACCTACAAACCAGACTATTTCTTTGATGTAACTTATCAAGAGAAATAACTGGCCTTCTGCACTTCCAACATGTTAATTTTGCATGGATAATTTTATATATTTCTAAGCCATTTTCAGTGTTGCTTCATGTAAGAGAGGAGGGTAGAAGGGAGAGACTCCATGCCAGATGGGTGAGGTAGTAACTTGGGATGCAAGTGATTGATTATTGATTCTTAACAATTGAGCATAATTAAAAATAAATCTTGTTTTGTTTTTAATGCTTTTGGGTCAACTGGGGGCTAGTATATGTATTTATAATCTTCCCTCCTTCCCCCTCTACCCTGCCCCACCCCACACTCCCCCCCCCGCCCCAAGTGCACACAGAGCTATACAATCCAGTTCTGAAGAGCCTGTCATCCAGATGAAGACAAAACACTGGTATAATAATTTCATTCATTAAGGGGTTGCAGGAGTTGTTGTTCCTTTTTTCAGAGTCAGAAACCTGAGAGGCTATTACCAAATTTGAATTAAGCTCTGTACCTCTTTAAATTATCAAATTGTAGGCCAGCTGTCAGCAATTTCTGTGTCACAAGTATTCCCCAGCCTAATGACGGGACACATATGGCCTGACTTAACGTTGCTGTGCTTCTCCCTTGCAGGAGGTTGTTCTCGCTCAGCCGCCCTCCAAACCTGCCCGCAGGAAGCTCCGGACAGAGGCGCAGGGGCTGGAGACCCCTGAGCTTTCTCCCACTATAAATGTGACTTCTTCCCTGCCATCAGTCAAGCCTCACCTCCCAGTCCAAAAGTAAAAAACTCTACCAATCACCCCAAACTGCACCGTGAGATCTGATGTGGCAGGGTTTCCTCTTTGCATAAGTTTGTGCTTAATGATTCTGGTTTTGAGAGTGCTTTACAAGATACAGGTCTCTGAAATCTACATCTGTCTGCATAAATGCAGACTAAGTCTGTAGTGACTGTGTAAGTTGGTAATATTTGATTGATAGCCTCTTCAAAGGTGTCATACCAAAGGTAACTGGTAAACACGTCTGAAAAGCAGGCCTAGCTGTTCAACCAGCATCTCTAACGCAACTTCTTTTAGCTCTGCAGGTGTATGTTTTTGTCTTGCACATATCTTCTGGAATTTTTCTCAGTCATGGGGACGGAGGTGACCAGATAAATGCCCATGGAATTGTGTCATGAAATGCTTGATGTTGGTCATATCCTTGTGATATTTCTTCATCGCAAGGCAGGTTGGAAGTGAGCTCGCCACTGGTATGAGCTGAGCCATAGCCCACTTGTGATAATCTGATCATTGCCAAACCCAGCATGTGTTGTTTGCTCTCAAAAATATAGCTGCTGAAGCTGTCAGCAACAAAGACTTGTAGGGATTTCACTCTATATTTATTTAATAGCAGTGGAGAAGGGGCTGTACAAATGGTAAGCGAAGGTACTTGAAGCCCTGTTGGATCTATACGTCTCTTTCAACTGAAAAGTGTGCAAACATTATAGTCCACCTTCCCCCGAAGCCTTGCAAAGACATCCTATTCAGTCTGAAACAAAACCACGCTGCCCAAATCAGTTGAGCGGTTCTTGATGAACTGTTTATCAGTAGACTGAACCTGTGCTGCATAATTGGAGATGAGAATAAGTAATAAGACTCCTAGAATGCCCTTAAAGCAGTATTTTGTGCTTTGGGAGGGCATATTCCATAGTGGTTTAAAGAAAGATAACAGCATTTGTTAGCATCTCAACTTAATCCTGTCTTGTCTGTATCTTTCCTAAAATGTTTAAATGTCCACAGAGGTATATACTCTGTTTTTTATTTTTTTTCCTATCGTTATTACTTTATAGCCTATGGAGAGTAGTTTGAAGCAAAACAGTGAAGCAGAAAACTGTCAGTTCACTGGAAGATAACAGCATAAAGACCTGTCTGTGCTGTTAGGTTCCGTTGCAAAGATCAGTGCCATCAGCACTGTTAAGAGAAAAGAGCTAATGGGGACTGCATACCACTGTGGACCTTATTTAAATAGCGCAGCTGTTTTAGATCAAATTTATCATTAAAGAGCTTTTGATGCCCCATGTAAAACTTTAAAATAATCTGTTTGGAAAAGGGTTTGGATATTCAGCCAGTATTTTCTGTATTTTCTTTTCTTTTTCCTGTTTTACCTCTCTTTCTTGGAATAGATTGGGCTTTATGTACAGACCTGTCTCTTTTTGTACCTTTCTGCCTAACTATAGTTTCCTCCAGATCAGTTACCATGAGCTATAGAGTAATAACAGTAATAGGAGAGAAATCTTTTATTTAAGCAGCACGAGCAAAGTCCACAAGCCATTCACCTGTTCCTGTTTGTGACATCAGGTGGTTTTGGTGGAACTGACTGCTTTGAATGAAAGAAAGATTAATTTTTGAAGTAAAGAAGCATCAGAATCAGCAGTGCCCCCCAAAATCTGAGACAGTATTTTCATGCAGTTGTCCTTTCTTTCCCACACAAAATGATTTTTGTATTTTCTGTTAACCACTCCTGAATCGTTAAACTCTATAAGTGTCTGAAAACAGCTAATGCAAAGATGCTGCAGTAAGCACGGCTATGCAGGGGTTATTCTTAAACTGAATCAGAATGCAGTGATTTTGAAATAACTGAGGCAGATGAAAATGTTTCTGTCATTCAGGTTAACAAGCGTGACCATTTTATTTTCATATAGTCTTACCTGATTCAGCCATCTCATTTCAGTGTTACATTTTTCTTCTTTTAAATCTGTAGTTGTTACCTTGTCTTTGAAGTGTAGTCCAGTGTGTATGGGGTACAGATGCACAAAATGGATGGCTGGTCTTCTGGCATCAGTCACTGTTGAGGCTCTTAATTGAAATGTTTTGTATTTATCTGTCTGGCAGACAGTCTTCCAAGCAGAAAAGGGCTATTCAGACCGCTATACGAAAAAACAAAGAAGCCAATGCTGTGCTTGCCAGGTTGAATAGTGAGCTCCAGCAGCAGCTGAAGGTAAGGAATGCATTGAAAATCGGTGACAAAACTCCCTGCGATCAGTTATGTGTCACCTCCAGCAGAGAATCTTGTTTGTCCTCTCAGATGAGACCTACTGTGTTGCTTCATGCTTTCTGGAAGGGAATAACTCTACTGTATGTGTGGGTAGGATGAGGCTTTCTAGGAAAAGTTATAACCTATGAGCTTGCAGCTCCACTGACAGTTAGGGTAAGTCTAAAAGGTGAACTTTGTCTTTCTGAAGAGTTTGGTACCATGATGCTGTCACCTAGTGCAGAAGAGCAACTCAAGCACAGCTTTCTTGTCTTCTCATCAATTGTGCTACATAACTGCCTCCTGGAGTCAGGGAGACTGGCTAGACCATGCTATACGTGGACAGCTAACACTGATTTTTAATGTCTGCTGACTTATCTTTTAACATTTGATCAAGGGGCTGTTTTCTTTTAAATATCAGTTCTAGTTTTTCTGTTGCCTTAGTCCAAAGGTAGTATACATTTTAGTTTCTCATCTGCTACAGCTTTTTCTTCCTTGCATATTATGAATGCACTTGTCTGGAAAGCGAGGTGAACCCCCAGTTGTACTTTTTCTTCAGTCAAGGTGAAAGTTTGATTGTGTGTTCAACTTTGCTTAACGTAATTTCTTAACCGCTTTTCAAGGATCTCCCAAGAGTGATACAGGGTGGATGCTCTACTGAAATCATAGCAAAATATAGGACAGCAATTGAAATAACTGTGGAGATGAAAGCTTTTAATGACAGCACATTGCCATCATTTGTTTGCTCAGGCCTTACTTGCTTCCATGTGCTATCTTCAGCGTGCTTAAACTCCCCGACCTTTACAAAGCAGGCCGGTGCTGTTACCTGTATTTTACAGCAGGGTGGAGGAAGCACGGCAGGACAGAGAGATTTGCCTAAGTTCACACAGGAGCAGAAAACTGAACTTGTCCTTCAAGCTGTATTGCTGCCTTCTGATGGAGTAGGGCTTTGCTGTTTTTATGGAGGCCAGAAGACTTGACGGGTACCCCTCAGGCACAGCTTGCACTGAGGCACAGGGAGTGTTCAAATGTGCTTCTGTGCTGGGGCTCTGAGCCTGCCGAAATGGGGTGCCAAAGCCTGGAGGAGTCGTAGGGCAGCCCAGCTCCCGCACTGCCCGGGGAGCCCTTTGGTGGGAGGTCACTGAGAGCCAGGTGCCCCTCAATGCAGGGGCAGCCTCGAGACCAGGAGAGGCTTTCCCAAATTTGCCGATCCCCAAAGCCTTCGCAGTTAGTTTCCCACTGAGACTGATGATCTTCCTGCTCAGCTGCCAGAGATGTGGACTGCAAAACCCGTGTCATCTTAGAAGGGCTAAGTCTCATTCATTTCCAGAGAGAAAGAGGTTGGTTGTGTGAACCAAAAAGTCTCAGAAAGCAGTTCTGGGGGAAAGGTGATTTCAAAATAACCTGATTTTCTTTGGTAAAAATGGCCAACTGTGGCCAGCTTAGCTGCATCCCAAGTTATTCTGCTGGATGACTGCTCCTCCCCACGATCACCCGAGCAAGTGACGGAGCCTCCGTACTGCCTTGCTGTAAGGAGGCGGCAGTAGGCGGTTGTGCGGGGTGGTGCTGTGCCATTGCTACGGTGTTTTGAGACCGCAAGGAAAGTACCTTAAACAGCAGAGCCCCGAGCCTCCCGTCAACGCCAGTGGTTTGCCTGGCTGCTCTTCGCCGGCGCGGGGTGGTGCGTGCGAGCGTCCCGAAACTTACAGCCCGTCTCTCCCTCCTGCAGGAGGTCCACAAGGAACGAATTGCCTTGGAAACGCAGCTGGAGCAGCTACGTCCCGTCACCGTCTTGTGACTTCCCGCACCGCCGTGCAGCGGCAGGAGCGGAGCGGGCGTCCCCGCAGCCTGGCAGGGAGAGGGGCGCAGCACGGCGCGGCTGAGCGGGGTTCCCGCCGAGGCGGTGGCGGTGGGGGGCACCGGCCCGTCGGGCCTCCCTTCGCCCCGCGGCGCGCGCTCGCCTTGGCAGGTGAAGAGACGGTACAGAAAACAGATACCTGACTGCCGGATATGTCTGAGCCGGGGGAGGGGGGATGCTTCGCCTTCTTTTCTCCCTCTTCCCAGCCTAATGTGCAAATGCGGTTTGTCACTGAAATGAATAACCTGAGAGTATTTTATTTATGTAAAGAATTCCTGATTTGTACGCATTCTGGCAGCACCTCCTGCCCCAATCATTAAGAGGTACAGCATTCCTGTATTCTTGCTTAAATTTAAAGCTCATCCTCCGAGATGGACTTCTAGATGTTACTGATTCCTGTAGGATTGTATCATGGCAGAGTACCTGTGGATTTAGTGTGCTACAGGAATAAAACCCAGTAGACATACAGAGTCTTTATCTGCAATCATGTTAGATAATTATTTTCTTAGTACTGTTTATTATGCAATCATGGATGTATTTTAATGTTAGAGAACTTGTATTTTATAAGTTCAAATCATATGAGAGAACAGTAAAAAATACTAAAATGAATTATTTTGGAAGTTACAAAAAAAATACCTGTTTTTTGAGCTGTAACAGTTTCCTATCACCAGTGTTTGATCACTTGCTTGCAACTGTCAGTGCCTCTGCATAGTTTTAGCATGTTTGAGATCACTGGTTTATAGCTTTTTTTTTTGTTGTTGTTTGCTTTTTTTAACCAACAGTGTATTTCTAACAGGAGGTTAAAAATGCATACGGGGCATTTTTATAAAAGCTGTTCTATGTACATTTTTATTAGTCTGCTTTGTTGTCTTAATAGCTGCTGGTTTGTTTTAAGGATGTGTACAAGAACTGTGTTTCCAAAAGAAGGAAGACAGTAAAAGTGCTATATATGAGGTTATAAAATAGGTGATGAAAATAATTGCCTTCTACAACAGGCTTTCATTAAGGTTCCTTTGCACCTCACTGCTACTGATTGGATGAAGCTGCCGATGCCCATCTGTTTTCTAAATGAAGAAGCAAAGATTAATTTTTAACCTGGGTCTGAGCCAACCAATTCCCGTGGGGATTTTTCCTGGGATGCAGTGGTCGTTGACTTCAGTCTCAGTTCTCGCAGTGGAAGCTGGCTAACTAAGGTTGCTTTATTTCTTTGGCCAGTACTCTTAGATTGGGTGACTTCAGGCACAACCATGTCAGCCTTGCTCCCTCCGTGGATATAATGTGTGCTTCGCTACAAGGGAAAGTCACCTACCTGTTGTCCATCTTAAACATGACCCTGCACGTTTTTCATATCCTGTTGCTCACTAATTTAAGCATATGCGTTTGCCTTGCAGGAACGGTGCAGCAGTTTTTTACCGTTGTTGGTGTGATGCTTTCTCCCTGTTGCAGTAGGGTGGCCGTGGGGCCGAGAGGAAGGAGAGGCAGGTTTGAAGCAGCTTCAGGGTATATCACGAAATGGCTGCGGTGCAGTGTTAGAGGACATCAGAGCAGCCAAAAGTTTTGTTGCAAGATAAGGCAGACATCAACAGGAATGGTTGAAGTGATGAGGAAACGGCCTACTTTTGCTAAAAGGGATATGGATGTGGGACATAGATCCAGAATTCTGAAAGTGAAAATAGGCATTTGCAGAATTGTTACTGAAAATCTGGTTTTGTAACACATTGGTTTTGATTGAACTAAGCATCACCGTGTCAATAAGCAACAACCATTCCACTGGATTTGGGGCTTCTTTAGTGCGACTGTTGCATAGCTGGGGTCAGATGGTCATTCCTGGTCAGTGACAAAATATGAGAACTGCAGTCTTTGCTGAGAAGCTGCAGAACAACTACTGCCCTCTTACTAGTAGTGGTACTGTTGAGAAGTTATCATCATTTATTTCCTAGGTTCATAACATTGACACATTCCTGAGGTTGTAATGTGGTTAAGCGCTCTTTGCTTTTTAGTTCTTACATATGGCATGTTTGATTTTTATTTTGTGGGTGATATTTTAAGGAAAGCTTTTCAGTGATTACAAAGAAGTATGCACATCGCATTTTTCGGGCAGTGGAGGACTTTTTCATGTTTGATAGGAGCTTCCTCTAGAATAATCCCCCATTTATTTCACTTGGGTTATTCATGGAATAGATGCTGTTCAAAGGAAAGGTATAAAAGTCTGCTTTATATGTCTTTTTCAAATGTCTCCCTTCTAACATACAGGGTTTCTTTTCATTCACTGGAAATTAGGATGCTTGGTTAGCCAACAATTAAATATTTACTCAGTTGTTACTCTATGGCAGGATTTAATAAATTAAAAAAGGAACCATCCCTTCATTTTTAGGGTTACAATCAAATGCCCCACTCAGCTTCAAGGTCAGGAGTGTTAGTTGATTTGTATTCTGTTTGGTGAAGTGTCAGCTGTGATGATGATACGCTACTTCGCATAGAGAGTAAAGTGAAATATTCAAGGAGGAATGCTGGTGTGTTATACGTACGATGCGGAAAGTTACTCTTCTGTATGTCTCAGTGCTTAAGCATTCACGACAGCCCACACAAAATGAAAAAGTGTGTCTGGTTTTGGGAGGTGGTTAGCATTTTGGGAGGGAAAGAAGGCATCATGAAGCTATAGACAGTATTTCTGGCCGTTGTTCCATGTAGCCATGATTATGGCTACTATTAACTGACCCTGGCTAGTCAAAATTCACATCTAAATCTAGTATCACAGACTTCCTCAAAAAAGACTTTTAATTTGGAAAAATGTGTGTACAGCAAAATCATCATTTGTTGCAGTAACCTTACTTTCTGAAGCTTTGGATGGGAGATGCTCCTAGACCCAAGACAAACCATCTAGTCAGAAAGGGAGACCTCACACAACGTTTGTTCAGTGTTCAGGGCACTTTCTTGAGCTACAGGAGGGCGATCAACTTTAAGCATGTGGTGTGCATGACCCAGAACAGCAACTGGGATCTGCCTGTCCCAGCTGACAGCCTGACCAAGGAGCTACAACAGTTTCCCACGCGTGAGGTCTCACTCTCCTCAGTTCATGGTTTCTGTAGGTCCTTACACCGAGCAGGGCATGCCAGCAAAGGAGTATAGATGGGAACAGGAGCTGGAGCATGGCTTCTTTGCATCTGAGAGGATGCGCTGACCGTGAGCCTGGTGCCCCTTTCTAAGTCCAATTTCCCACAGCTATTCTGGTTTGAACAATTAACTATTTTTGTCTGCAGGACAAGACTAGGCAGAGCAGGTAAGGATCTTCCTCTGTGTGTGTAAGTGTGCACTCACATGTATTCTGATCATGCATTTCTGTATGTATCTGTTAATTTATATCACCTGATACCTTTCTAGCAAATACTCATTTCAATACATGGTAATTCAGTGGTGAAAAAAGTGCCCAGCTAAGTGTAGTGACTGGTTGCCTTTGTAGATGAAGCCATTTTTTTTTTGAGCCTGTAAATGTGAATAATGACCTGGTAATTAAGCAAGGCAAACAGGTTCTGTTTCAGAGGCATTCCTTTAAACAAACTGTCTGTGAACAAACATTAATCCTTAACGATCAATGTCCTTCTCCTAGTTACTAATTTTATACTAGAATGCAGTGGAAACATTGCCACCTCTTTCCAGACAGTTCTCAGTTCTCTCTTCCAGGGAGTTCTAGTGATGTAGCAAAAGTGTCAGTGATTAGTGGATTCAACCCCATTTTTGGTAAGTTGGTGAATATCCTTTTTAACTCAAAGGTTATATCCAAACTGTTTTTATGTGCATGGCAGTAGTTTTGCTGATGGGAATTCTGCATCCCCACTGGGGAGAGGAACTTGTTCGGCTATCATCCAGACACTCCCAGCTTGACACTGCCAGGGCTAACTAGCATGGGGTGGTGACAATTTGAATGATAAAATGAGCCCAAAGGGGTGGTTGGGACTTGGAACCTTTCACAGGAAGCATTTAGGGTGGGCATGATATGAAAATTGCCTTTTGGTGGTGTATAAGCTGCTTTCCTCCCAGCTGAGCTTCCAGATCAGGAGAAAGAGAGCCTGTAAAAGTTGCTAGCCAGGGAATGAGAGGTGTCCATCTTCCAGCACCATCAGCCCTTCGGCCTTCAGCACACACGGTCCTTGACAAGAAAATACACAGGGTTATGAAAGAAGAGAAGCGCTCATAAAGCCACATATTTTCTTGACTAAAGAGTAAAAGTATTTTTTCAGGAAAAAAAAAAAAAAAAGTAAGTGATGTAGTACCTTTGAGAAGAAATGATGTATTTTGAAGCTTTTTTTAGTTATCTTCATGATAATGTGCTATGAACATACGCATTATGTTTTACTCTGTTACTGATTTTTTGATATAAAAAAATCGTATTGCAAGCATTATCGTTATTAATCTAAAAAAAAAATACCCTGAGGCTATTATATATTTGAATTTTAACTTATAAAGTAGATAGCCAGATTTAAGCAATTTGTTTTCACAGCTGCAGACTGTCCACGTGGTAAGCTGCAAAATGTATAGTGTTCTATACTATGCCCATCTAATTTTGGAAAATGTATGTGATATGGAGCTGGGTGCTACATTAAAATAAAAGCGTCCAAAAACTTCAAATTGCCTTGCTTTTGTGGTTTATTTAGGATGTCAGTTGTGCAGATCTGTCAGGAGAGCAGAAACTGTGACTCGCTGTGGAAAAAATACAGCGTTGAAATGGCCGACCTTCAACTATGAAAGATGAAATCACTTACACTGGGATTGTGTGTACGTGAGAGAGACAGAGACAGACTTACTTAAAGTGAAATTGTATTTCCTTAGGCTTCAGTTAAGTCAAAACTTCATCTTTACTTTGTCAGGCTTCGCTTTGTTAGAATTCAGACTTCTCGCTGTGATTAAGCCCGAAGGGATGCATCCTTTTATAACCTGGACAACACCACCACCAAGGAGAAGCCCTTCCAAGCCTCCAGCAGACCCTTGGTTGGAGGGTGCCCAAGCAGGAGCAGCAAGAGGACTTGAGTCGTTCCCCCCAGCACCTCTGTGATCAGTGATTTCAGCCCCTCATCAACTGCAAGGGCTGAAATTAAACTGGGAAAAGGAAAACATTTGAAAAACTGGCCTTTGTGGGCCAGGAGCTAAAGGGGACAGTGTACTTCTGCTCTTTAACTAGTGTGATTTTTAAGAATTATGTCACAGCTATCCAAAGAGCAGGGCTCTAAAAGAGGAAATAATTACCGATCAATTAATTCTTGCAGCATTAAGCCATGACAAGGGATGTTTTATTGGCCTAAAAGTATGTCTCTGGTGCACATGAGGCACAAGGCCAAGGCGTTAAAAACTTGTAAATATCCTGTAGGGAGCTATTTGCATCGGCAGCGGGATGGATTTAGATGGCTCCTCCATTCTTAGTTTTTACAATTAGATGATACTCTGGGGTACCTTCGTGCAAATCTAGATTGGCTCTCCATATTTAAATTCATGTTCCGAATAATCTTTCTTAAAAGATGCATCTTCCTGCTGTAGGAAAAAAGTTCTTAGTGGAAGTGGGAAAGAAAAGTAATAGAAGAAGCTTCGAAAGTCCTCTTTTATCCTTCTGCTGTTTTTATGGTAACGCTGCTCCACAAGCATGCCTGCTTAGATGGGATGCTTACCTGGCTTCTGCGGCAAAGCAGAATAAAGCAGAATTAATGAACAAACAAAATCCGTGGGTATCTGTATCCCATGGGTGAGTTGGAGCTCTTTCACCTGGTGGTCTCATCACTCCTGTATCTCCCCTGCCAGCCGCCGGGCACTGCGTCCCCTCGAACAGAATGCACCTTGGAGCAGGGAGCCTTGGGTACAGGAGGTCAGCTTGCAGCAGGTTCCCAAGTCCCCAGTATTCCCTCAGTGCCCACCATTTTGGGCACATACCTGGAAGCAGTGGCACTGCCTGTGTCCCAGATGTGTTATGACAGTAGACCCCCTGCTAAATGCTGAATCAGTATTCCCAGTTAAATACTGAGTTGGTTTATGTTTATTGATTGTTAACTTAAATAGCGTGAGGTAGGAAGAATGTCTTATCTGAGGACATTTTGAGGGTGCTTTATGCATCAGAAATGTGATGGGCTAGACAAGACCAAGGCTGTATGTTACATCTCGTCTGTTTTTTGCAGGAGGGAGGGAGGAAGAGGGGGGATTCTTTCCTTAGACAGGTTTCTCCCACAAGAAATGTAGGGGTTTTTTTATTATTATTTCCCATCCTTGATTCACATAGGGAACTTACTCATCACTTTGATGTGGTCTTCAATGAAACATGGATGTAAGAGCTGGTAAACGCTCAGGTAGCATCCTTCCACCCAGAGCTCCTGGCCCTGCAGGGTTGAGCAGTAGCAGAGCGGTGATAGCGTGTCCAGCCCCGTGACAGCAAACGACATGCAGAGCCCACCAAGGAGGAAAGCAGCAAAGGAGGCAGTATGTCAGCTCTGGTGGGACCACAACAGAGGGAAAACATGGCTCAAGAAGAGTAATCATGCTTCTGAGGTAGCAGGGAAGTCAAGGTACCTCCACCACCTTGCTCCACCCCCGCACAAAAGAATAATGTGCTTAATAAAGCTCTGCTGCACACCTCGCTACCAGGAGGCTTGGATGTAGGGCTGTCATTTGATACATGAGCTATTCCCTTCCAAGGTCACTTAAGGAATTCAGTAGTTCATGCTGTCTGTCACAGGTTTAGGGTGCGTTAAGCCAGCGATACTGGTGTCCAGCAGACCGATACAGAGCGTGCATTGTTTACTACAGTTTTCATACTCTTATCTGAGAGGAAAAAGCCAGCCAATGATCTCACCGGGGTCTTGTTTCCCAGCCCCGTGCTGTTCCTAAAGGACACTGTATACTCAATGAAAAATAATGGCTTCCTGTTTCGTTAATGAGTTCTTACAGCAATTTCCCTCTAGAGTAATCACCTTGGGTGATGGAGGTGTGCACTTTCAAAAGCAATTAGTCCTCCAGAGGGGCTGTGCTGGGAGGCACCATTCTCTACCAAGAGAAAAGCAGCTCCCTTTTGGGTGTCTCAGCTTCTCAGCTCGGATGGTAAAGAAACCAGTACTGCCAGTCATCAGTCACTTGACGCTATCAGCTAAAATGTCTCCTGGGATTAAAAGAGCCCTCCTTGGGAAAAAGTTTGTTTCTAGTACTTAGTACCATACTATAAGGGAAAAAAAAAAAAAAGCTGTTGCTTTGATTGTTCTCCAAGTATCTGGGTGATTGTGTTACTCAGAAGGTGCCTCTTCAGGGCTGCGCTTTCTGAATTTGTTACTGCAAAAATCCCCAGTTGGGAACTTCGACTCAAGTATCCCAGGACTTTTAGGGGACTCTGGTTTGGAACTGGCCTTCATGTTTCACCCCAACCGATTTACTCCAATCACCAACCTTAGTGCAAATAGTAACACATTTTTAAGCCTGTACATTTATTCTTTCAGCCTTTCAAACTGCTGCTGCAGGTATATCATGCTCCAGTTAGAGCTGGCCATTAAGTACACGTGGAGCTATGTCAAAGCGAGAGTAAACAAGTAGGGGGTGTTTGGGTGGCAGGCAGAAGGGCTAGTGCTGGACCACAGCGGCTGAGGCAGAGGCAGGCCAGCAGTGTCTTCCTCTTGCTCTGAGTTTTACCACCATGGGTAAGCTCTAATTTGAGAAAGAAAATGTTGTTTGATTGATTTCCCCCACTTTAGTTATGAAGCTAACTTAGCTTATATGCATATTTTAATGTGTCGGACCCTCAACCATATGTTCTTACTCTTCTCTTGAGTTTGCTTCTTTGCCTGGTTTTCTAAGTGTGTCTGGCACCCTGCAATTGCTTGGTTTTGCACAAACTGGAAAAACTGAGCAGAGTGCAGGTGCTTATCACCTGGTCCTGCTTTCAGCCCATAGCCTGGGGGACTCAGCATGCTTTTGCTCTCACATATAAATGTATGGCTGGGTTTATGACTTTGCTCTGGTTTGGTTGATTCTGGAGGTGACTTTGGCTGCAGGTGGCAAAGCACAGGGGACTCTTCGTGGCATATTGTCTGGGTGGAGGTCATCTCGTGGACTTACAGCTTTGCAAGCTGGATATCGAAATGGTCTGTGGAAACCTGCACTCAGCTCAAACTTTGAAGACAGGTGCTTGACAGGGTTTGGGAAAAGTTACAGAAATAATACTTGAGACTAATAGCAATGTTAATGCAGAACACATGGAGCTGTTGCTCCAGGTTGGCCCATCTCATCCAGGATGTCACTCTGACATCGGTCAGTGCCAAAAAGTGTTGGAGGAAAAAGGAAGAACCCCAAAGTTGTCAAAAACTGTTCAGTAAATAGACTTTGGATGACTGCTGCCTTGGCTGACACGCTGGCATTTCTTCTGGCATCTCTGGAAGCTGAAGCATGGACTGCTGCAGTCTGCTCAAGGCCAGCATCTGCTTCACTTTTGACCACATCAATTTCTTCTGTAAATTGAGACAGAGGAATACCTGTAATATACACTCAGCAGTATAACCTCTGTACAAATGTATTTACAGAAGTTTCAACTTTACTCTTCCATTTGCCATTCATTATTTGGTATGTTTTGGGGTTTTTTTATGATTTCCTGTGTTATTTTTCTCCAATATAGACAGAGGAATTCCCATCTGTTCAGCCTGTCTTCTTCCAGACATTTCTTTGTCTCTAGTTGGTTTTGCTGCCTCTCTCTGGGACTTTTCTCCTCCCTTTTATTCTTTTTTTGAAATAGCGTAGACAAATCTGAAGCCATTTTGTTGTCACCTTATTTCTAAAGCAGCGACTCTGTAAAATAGAGCATCATGACACCCAGGAGCTTATACTTTTTTTTCTTTTTTTCATCTATTTGTCAGCCCTGCTAACATCAGCTGGCACCCTGGAAGGGTGGGATCATCCTAGTGACTTGAGAATTTGTAAATAACACTGTACAAGTCAGTAAAAGAAGGTGTGAATCTCTGTCTCTCACTATCTTTTCTCAATACTTGCATCAAACCCGAGGCATCATTTTAAAGTAATAATTTTATTTAAACCACCAGAAGTGTTTATGAGCCCCCCTGGCCCATAGCAGGTAGGCTCTGTAAATGTGCATTTCTCAGAGAACTGAATGGAAAAGTTTCTGCATCAGCTGGAGAGGAAACCTCAGGCCTTAGCTGACTGAGAGCCTGTATCTCCCTGAAAAGCAGTGCTAAAAACAGGTGTCTCTTCAGACAGATAAAAATTGTCCACTGACCTCATCTGCTTTGATTTCCACTCCCTCAGATAACAGCATCGCTGTGTGCATCTCCTGAGACTGCAAATCCCAAGCTCAGGAGTTGCTCTGCAGCTTATGGTAATAAAACTCAGAGCCTGGGCTTGAGAAGCTCCCAGGGAGAATGACAATTTTGAAGGTAATTTTACATCCTGAGGTGTCTTATTAGCAGTCTAATCTATTTAGTCTCAAGAAGAAGAAGCGGGATCAAAGGCAGAAGTGAGCTATCAAAATTAGCTCCAATAAAATTAATAAATATCTCAATTTTTATTTCCCTTAAATAGTATTTATTGCTCCTCTTTGAATTTTGCAAAGCCATTTGAGGGATCGCTCTCATTTTGTGCTCAGACATCACTGCACA